CGAGTTTCAGAGTCAAAGTGAGACCCAGACTGTGACCTAGAGATGATAGATGAGAAATATGTTGGACAATCCCGAGCCCCAACTTGCCCAAGAAAAATGGACACATCGGCCAGTGCATCCACTAGGCTAGCTGTTGAAAAACTATTTGGTTCTAGAAGGATTTTCTCCAGCTCGAGGATTCTGTTTTGCACAGACATGCCACATGCTTGGAGGGAGATCCAAGTTTTGGATCGCATATGCGGAGAATATGCCTTCTGGAGGTTGGATAACGGCGACTCCTGTGCGTGGTCTGCGGTAGCGGAGAGTGAATGGATGGGGTGAGTAATAGTTGGGGGGAATCTCTTTGCAAGCAAAACGGCAGCCTCCAAAACGAAACTTCTCCACCCATCCTCGACTTGGATTATCGCAGTCAGAAAGTCATATAGCCTATCCGGTTTCCACCCAGAGGGTCGAGTGACTTCGCTAAGAAAACGAGACGTCAACTTCAGAGTGCTGGATGGGACTGAAGGCTTACGCCGGTAGCGAGCGAACGAGTTCGAGAAGAATTAAACGCGCTTCTTCCCGGGGCCATTTGCACAGATAAACCACAAACAGATACACAGAAGATTCTGGGCCCGCACAGATTCGCGACAAGGTCAGAGTAAGTGCCTGCTTGGCAATACGGACGGAGTACATGTCCGGTCTAAATATCGTTTGATCTAAAGACCTTCGTTTGTGCGAAAATTCGAGCTCACCAGCAAAGTTCCAACAAGTCATTGCACCTGGAACCGGTCAAGGATGAAGTACGGAGGCGTATAGTCGCCAGTCTACGCCGAATCAGAAGTGAATCGATTCCACGAATTGCGGCCTCGCCGAGAGCAAGTAGAGCTCTCCCGGAAACAGTCCCGGGACCCCATATCGTGGAAGTATCGGTGGATGTTCTCTGCGAATCTGATGATGTTGATACACCATCGAGAGAGACGCTCTTCTCGGTCTCTGCAATGGATGGAAGTCGGGGCAGATGATGGACTTCTTTTGGTGCTTGAGCCATACGCCTGGCGATAAAGAAGATGGGAAAGTGTGCTGCGCCGTGCCCTGAGGGAGCTCAAAATTTGCTGCCATATAGTTGATGCGGAATGATCATTTTGGCAACCGTGAGCAAGATTCCATTGGAGGCTATATGTTGACAGTCGAGCTAGCCACCACACCTGGTGATAGAGACGATAGCCATCGTCTTCTGTGCCAAAGAGGGGCAATGAATGAGATAAAAGAGCGTCCCGCTGCGGAAGCCCATGTGACGAATCGATTGAACGCCACAAATCACCCAAAGCTGTCGTTCACAGTGAAGTCTAAGTGGCCCTCCGTGACGCGACGGCATTTATCATCGCCACGTCGCTCGCAGTGAAGTCCAAGTGGCCCTCCTTGACGCGACGGCGTTTATCATCCCAACGTCGCCGTATTATTCGCGCAGAGCGCTGAAAGGAAAGAACACGTCACTCAGAGGATGAGGATGGGTGTGGACATTATAACGTGTGCCAACAACATGGAGGACGGTCAGCAGGCCCGGAGAAGAACGAGGCACGTTTTAAAGAGCACAGGACATAGCTACGCCGAGGAAAAAGGTCAGATTCGCGAAGAACCTAGGAGAACCCTGGATTCTAACGGTAGTGGCGATATCTTGCGTGTGGAAGTCGCACGCACGGGAGATGGACGTGCTCGAGAGGCGCGCCGATGCGGATGAGCCCATGAGGAAAGGGTAACAAGACCTCCCCGGTCGTACCACACGACATCAGCATTTTTCGTGGAGAAATCGACATTTCACGGAGCGTCAAGTTGGTAGACAGCACCCTTTCAATTACAGCCAGGTCGAAAGTCGCCAGAGGGTTGGACTTCGGTAGAAGGTGTGGTCTCAATATCGCGTTCGCCAAGGTACGCCGGGTAGCTCGAATACAAAGTGCTCAGTCCCGCGTTGCTGTGCCCATGGACCTCGCTCCCCTAGGGAACACGGGTCTGAACCAAGTACGGGAGATTTTGAAGCGAGAGAAAAGTCCTTGAGTAGTGCGAGAGAACACCCAAGAACTCGGTGCAAGAAGTCCGAAGAACAATGTGTATTGTCTCTGGCGACGAGATTTATGTGTAGTCCTGCCAGAACCATTCTCAAAGACCTGGTCTACTCTTTTGTCTGTCGTAGCAAACCGTCAGCGCTATTGGGTTCATTTTGCCTGGTGTGTTAGCATACCAAGCTAAACTTTCATTTGCTCTCCTCCTTCTCCCCCTCCTCCTTCTTCTCGTCTTTGGGTGGCTCAGCAGCCTGTCGAAGCGGGTTGCGAAGATGAGTTCCAGGGAGTACATTTATCACACCACAGGACTCACAGCATCGGAGGCCGCCTCCTCATTCTTCTGTAGATCATGAGCCACGTTAAGACACACGACTAGAACGCATACTTACTGCACCAGCCGCCTTCGGCACATCCTCCGCCTGAGTAACCGCGTCGGTTTGCAACCCACAGGAGGGATATTAGATGTCACGTACCGTAGCGGCGTTAGTCGCGCTCGAAACATCTGCCTCCGCTCCATCGCTATCCTTCATCACCGCGCTCGCCGCATGGTCCTCGTGCGCCTCCGCGTGCACGGCATGCGCGTCGTGCGAATCGTGCGAATCATGCCCATGGTGCCCCGCAGCGATCTTTTGCTTAATCGCAAAAGTGTCTCGCAGCAGATATGCTAGCTGTGGTGCACCGATTCAGTTCGTGCCTTTGCAGCCCAATCCTAAGGTAAAAGGCTCACAGAGGGGATAGTGATGACCGCGGCGGCAACCTGGAGGACGAGGAACGCTTCTAAATGAGAGTGTAGAGGGCGATGCGCGGGTGTAACGCACGATCCAAGGCATGTCCGATTTCGGCTTGAATTCAGCGTGGTGGCCGGCGGTCGCGTCCGCGCTCATGAAGCGCCGCGCAGGGCGAATATTCGAGCGCGCAGACCTGGCTGCGCGCGCGCTCGTTGAGAAAGCCTGTCGGCACAAACGGGATGCCATGGTGGAGGTTCAGGTGAAAGTGACAATGTGACGTTCGGGCATAGTCGGGCCAGAAGCCTAGAACCAATTATTCTGAATTACATGTACCGGCAACAAATTTAAACAGCTACATAGCGCGCCAACAGTCCTAACAGTCCTCCCAATCCAACCCAGTCCTCGACATGAACACCAACCCCATCGCAGCCTGGAACGGATCGCTCGTCGCGAGGTCGTCGTCGAGCAGCCGCTCATACATTTCGTCCAGCGTCATATCAGCGCAAACGGCACCGTTATCTCCCTGCAGCACGCTGAGATGCTTCAGCGGCGCTTTCTCCACGTCGAACACGTTGTCGTCGCCCGCAGGCACAGAGGCGGCGGCGGTGCGCTTCACAGGGCTCCCGGGAGTGAGATTGAGCATCTAAAAGCAAAGCAGCGTCAGAGAACGAAAGAGTAAAGCCAGAACGCGGAGCGTTACGCTGTTGAATAGAAAATGGTCGTCGTTGGATATTGCGGCGCCGGCGGACTGAGGGTCATTGTTTTCGTTATTATCTTCGAGATTCGGAATGTAAGAACGCAGGTGAGAAGGGGTGATCGGCGAGTGGGTGTGCTTGAACGAGTCATTGGAATACGAAGGATCGAAGGGCGGTTGCAAGCCAGGGACTGGAGTGCTCTTGTTTGAAGGACAAAATGGGGAAGGCTCGGTGCTAGCTGTAGCGTGGGGTGGGGGGAGTTGATTTCCGGAAAACAGCGACGGGCGGGCTACTGTGGATGTGAACGGAGACGCGGCAGGGTTGACGTAAAATGCAGGGGCGCCTCCAACGGAAGGAACAAGGAGGGGGACTGTACGGTTATAAGCGGTCGGGTTGGAAGATGCAGGAGTTCTGCTCGTGACATTCGCTGGAGCTTGTTCAGGGATACGTTGAAGAGCAGGATCGACATTCTGCGGGGATTGCCACAGGGGCGGCGGGAGGAGCAGCGGACCGAAAGAGGGATAGGCAGACTGCTGGGATTGCGAAGCGGAAGACTGTTGCTGGTGGGGCGGTGGGCGCAGTTGGAAACTCGAAAAGTTAGAGCCAGGTGCTCCGGATCCGTAGTAATATGCATGGCTTCCGGGCGCCGCATACGAGACAAGAGGTGGGCGAGAGTTATTCTGGGCGGAAGTTGAGCTGAAGGAGGTGGTGGGTTGAGCGAGAGGCGGAATGGAGGGGGCGAAGTCTTCGCTGCGGGGAGGAATGTACGAGTCGTCTGCAGGAGGTAGATTGTCGGCAATTGAGCCAGGCGGCAATTCGAGTGTGGATTCTTCGATTTTGGGCACGCGAGCGACGTGTCCCCGTTTCTTCTTCTGCGCCGGTGGGTCGTTTTCAGGCTCTGAGATCGCTTCACGCTTCGTCCCCCGTGCGTCCCGTTCTCTCTTCCTGAAGCGCGCGAACCACGATCTGATCCATTCGCAGGTGCTGCAGAACAGTTAAAGCAGGTGAAGGGGTGTAGGCAAGATGCACGTGCAGGCCAGTGTCGTCGCTCAGCCTTTTGACCTCTTCAGCGCTCAAGTTCTGGTCGGGAACGAATGCGGCCTGTAGGGTTTGGAGCTGCAGTTTGCTTGCGCGCACGGCTACGGGCGAGTTAGTCTATGCGTCAGATAGTAGGAGACCAAAGTTACGCTGCTTTCTCTTGACATTCGCGCTCATGCCAATAGTTGAGAGGAGGCAGTCACGTGTGCTCGACTCAACGCCAACATCCGAATAAGGCAAGTCTGTGGCAATCACCTTTTAGACGAAAGAAAATTCTGTATCTCAGCCGTTAGGGCATATTTTTATTTGGTTTCAAACAGAATTTTTGGCGTGTCGTATCGGGCAGCTGGAGAGTAGAAAGGCATATTCAGCTCAATGGCTTGTTTTGAACAAAATCGAGCATCTATTGTGTTACTGATTTGTGGGAGAAGATGGACGAGGTGGGCGGAAGAAGGGATAAAAGAAAGAAAGACTATTCAAAAGCGGGGAAAAAATGAAGTAGCCCACCGCGAGGGTCGAACTCGCAGCCTTCAGATAAGTCGCCGCCAGGCAGACCTTCATAAAAGTCTGACGCTCTATCCGATTGAGCTAGGCGGGCGATAGAGGCCATGCCAAACTTGACCTCCCATCGAACATCAGTTACGATCCTAATTTGTGGTCTGGCTCGATTTTTCAGGACTGCTGTCAAGACTTTGGGCGACCTTTCAGCCAGTTGAAACAGTTACATGAATAGTGACTTGCCCGAAACTTTCAAGATTTCGAGATATCGGCGTCGCAGATCCCTTCCACCGTATAAAATCGACCAGAATACACGCTACAGGTACTGATGAGCACCCTTCGAACCTACCATATGAATCGTGCCTTAACCTAGTAGACAAGGTAAGAAAAAATGAAGCCTTTTGATAAGAACTAAATTAGGGGTATTTACAAAGACGGAGTGGTTACCGCTCCCACTTCCACCAACACCAATCCCGGGCCCGCCAGAGACAGAGAGACTCGTCCCCCTTGGCCGGTCCTGCCGCTCGAGCGCAGGATGTGCTGCGCGGACAGGTAGTCGATCGCGGGGAGCGGGAGGGGGAGGGGCCGGCCCTGGTGCAGCCAGGAGACGGCCTCGGCGGACTGGTTGACGTAGTCGCTGCGCCGCCGCGACAGGGTCGGGTTGATCGACGCGAGCGGGGGAGAAGCGATCGTGGCGGGTGGGGAGGGCCGGGTGTGGTTGAGGGAGGGGAGGGAGGGCGAGGCGGACATGGACGCGCGCATGGGCGTGAAGGAGGGGTGGGTGATGGGTGAGGAGGAGGAGGAGGTGCCGTTCGTCAACGGAGGCGGGGAGGATGCGTACTACACGGAAGAAGAGAGGTGAGAAGGTATATTGAGATGAGAAGACAAGAGCGAAGCACAACCCACATTCTCGGAAATCCTATGGGCAAACGACGACGGGCCCGCCGCCGACTGGCCCGCCCTCGACAGAGTTGGCCCCCGACTCCTTGTGCTTGGCCTGCTATCATAATCCGCCCCCGACTGGTAATTTGTGGGATGCGTGATCTCGGCTGGGGACCTGATGAGCTCGTCTCAGAATGTCTGTACACGACGGCGAAGCAGAAAACCTACCGCGAATGCCCAATGCTCTGATCGAGCGAGTAGTTCGGCCGATGCTGGAACGTCGTCCCGTGCTGCTGCTGTGTGGGGTTGGTAATCCGCTCTCGAGCGGGGCGTCCACAGCTGATGCTGCATGCCCGACGACGATGGCGACGTCGACGCCGAGCCCGCAAAGCCGTTCGTCACGGACGTCGAGCTGCTGCTGCTGCTGCTACTGAACCCGTTAACCATCGGCGCCGCGCCGTTCACCCCATTCGCCCCGTTCACCGGACTGTACCCATTCGACATGAGCGCCGCCGCCGCCGCCGAAGACGACGACGAACCCGTACTCGAGGCGAACGATATCGGCGCAGGCGACGGCGCCTTCGCCGCCGCCGTGACCTGCTCGCCCACCTCCCTCCGCCACGCATCAAAGCCCCCAACGAGCGCCATCGGCATGCGCTTCAGCAGCTTCGTGAACGCCGTCTTGCTGATCAACCGCAACAGGACCGACATCGGCGTATTCGGCCCCCCGAGCGTCTGCGACGACTGGTCGTACACGACGATCAGGTCGAATTTGTCTCGGTTCTTGAACATAGTCGTTTCGTTCGTCGGCGCGCTCGCCATGTTCGGCGGTTAGTCTGCGCGTGTTGGGTTAACACCATTTTTTTTTGGAAGACGGAATAGAATGGAAGCGCACGCACCCCGTCCGCCTGAGAATAATCGGCTCCACACCAATGACCGCCTCCGTGCGGATGTGCGCCTTGTCAAAGTCCGCGCGGTTGGGCACATCGAGCAGCAGGACGTTGTAGTCGTGCAGGTACGTCTGCAGCTCTTTCGGGAAGGCCGTGCCGCTATTCAGTGCCGGATGACAGACAGGACAGCAGCGGACGCGCAGCGGAGCATGAGCGAGGGGGCAGCGGGCAGAACGGGGTCGGCGACAGAGGCAGGAACAGCGCAAACAGGAGGACACCCGCGAACGGGCACGGGCGGCAACTGCCCGGGTAACATGTACGTGCGGCAGGCGGCGCAGACGCGATAGAGCTGCAGGGACCAAGCGCATCGCTGAGATGGAGGGGGGGGCGCAGTGCACGGGAAATACCCGGAGAAGAAGCCCGGCAGGGGCGCAGATGGCGCCAGAAAGAGCGGAACTTCCGAAACGGCAGTGCATCGGGCGGCCACAGACACTGTTCAGCGTCGAGAGGAGAGAGAGGGGGTAGAGGAAGGCCGGCGCCACCTCCTGGAGTCCATATAAGCTAGGTTAGCCCAGGGCAAGAGAATTCGCGTCTTGTAACAGTGAGAGTGACGCTCTCATAAGCCGATTTTCGACACATTGCCGTACAGAAACGTGCTCGCCACATTGTTGTAACTTGTAGGCAGGTGGCAACGAGCCTAAGAAGAACAATAGAGCGTATGCAACCCAAAAATCGGCCTCCCAGAGTTTTACCTCAATTTTAGCCGAGTGCAGTGACTGATGTGAAGAGCTTGGGCTCTATCTCGAGTATCCCTCTCAGAGAAGTGCACGGACAGGGAGGGACGCATTGCTCACCTTTCCAAAAGCATTAGGCAAAAGGAAAGGATTTTGAACCTTTGGATGGCCTTCTGGATTCTCTGCCGCTCTGCCGTTCCATTTTGGTCGTCACAAATGTCTGAGACCAGACATCAAATTTTTGACATTTTCGTGATCTCGGGGGTTTTAGAGCTGCAAATACGCTCTATTATTCACGTTCTAGAGCTTCACTTCACTCCATGACCAAGAACACCACGATTCTACCTAACCTCTCTTACGTTCCGAAGCAAGCTGGTCAGTAAAACTAGTGGAACCATTGCTTTCTACCCGCTGATTGCACTGTAGACCATGATGAGCTCGCAAGCGCTAAACTCTGGGCAGTGTACATTTCCGAGGCAGAGAAGTATGACAAGGCTCTGGTCGAGAGCTGGAAGTCCGATATGGACGGATTGCTGATATTTGTATGTTTGTATCGATACTGAACTGTCACTCGTTCTGAAAGACCAGCACAGGCCGGTCTCTTCTCTGCTAGCTTGACCGCATTCCTCATCGAAAGTTACAAGACTTTGAGTCCAGATCAAGGCGCAATGACAATTGCACTTCTAGCACAGATTTCGCGTCAGCTCGACACAAGCTCGAGCAACACATCCATGGCAACCACCAATCCCTCATTTACAACCCCATCAGCCGCAACACTGGCATGCAACATTCTCTGGTTTTTCAGTCTAGGATTGAGCCTGTCCTGTGCTCTCACCGCAACTCTGGTCCAGCAATGGGCAAGAGATTTCATCCAGCAAACTGAGATGCGCCCCTCACCAGTCACTCGTGCAAGAATATTTTCATATCTCTACTTTGGGATGCAGCGATTCAGCATGCATACAATCGTGGGATTTATCCCTCTCCTTTTGCATCTTTCTCTCCTCCTATTCTTCTCGGGCCTTGTCGCATTTCTGCGACCCATCAACCAAGTGATGGTGATTGTGGCAGCTCTTATGCTGGGCTTGATCTCAGTCATTTACATCTGGCTTACAATACTCCCAATAATCTCGTCGGATGTCCCATATCGAACCCCGCTATCAAATGTGGTTTGGCAGGTGTATCAGCGCCTTTCAGTCATGTTATACTGGAGCCCAAAGTCTCTTTGGGATGAAGAAAAAGGCCAGAAAGATGACAAATCCCCCCAGTGCAACAACCAGCAACCCAAACAGGATGAAGAGTGTGGAAACACAGACCGCAAATACCACCATGACAACAGAAGGATCCCCACTTCTTTGATTGCTGTGATGAACCAACATGCTACCGAGTGTTCACCCCAGCGAGATGACCGTGATGGCCGGGCAATTGTCTGGACCCTAAAATCCTTGACAGATAACAACGAGCTACAACCATTTGTTGAAGCTCTCCCAGATCTTATATGGGGCCCAAATGGCAGGCAACACATGTATGATGCCATGATATATATGCTCCTAGCAGACCGGAATATTCAGCTCATTCAGCGGATTGAGAGTCTTCTCCAGTCATGTGACAGTGGTCTGCTTCGTTCTGATCATGAAATGTGGCGCCGCATTGCCTGCATAAAGGCGCTTTGGGCAATTGCATATTTTCTTGCATCTGATGCCTCAACACAAAAAACCTTCCCCATGTTTAATACAAATTCTCTATCATCCCAGCACCTTCATTCTAACCCAGAAGTCCACTTGTATTCAGTATCTGCATCTGCGGTGGTCCAATGGATTGGGTTTTGTGCAGTTTCTCAGCTCATCCAGGAAGTGTTGGCCATGCTGGCAACCTCTCCAGCTGTCCAAGATCCTGGGACCATCCTTGCCGCACTCTGCACAATTGAGCATGAAGCAAATGCACGAGGATACACTGAATTTAGTTCTGCCATCTCTCATATCACAGGTGATACAATGCCACCCTTGCTGCAACTTTGCAATACCCTGAATTCTTTTGAAGACAAGGCATATGACAGCTTTATGGAATACCTTCAATCCTCTTCTGGCCTCAATGAAATGCCCTTTGAGTTTCAGGCTACCTGTGAGATAATCCAGCCGTCATTAGTGCCAATCAGTTCAAAAGTTCAAATAAAACTTGTGCAATTATTGGACACCATTATCAGCACTGTTGGCCATATAGGATCCTTGGAATCTGGGGTTCACCAGGTTGATGTCATCGTTGATATGGTGCTCCAGCTACTCCAACCAGGTTCTGAGTCCATGGAGATTGGATTAGGACGGCCAATTGCCATTTATATTGTGTACCGAAGCAGAGGCACAGGAACATCCTTGCAACAGTGGAACCCAAAGCAGTTATCGTCAATACTCACAAAATATCTTGCATATCTTTCTGGTGGGGACAACACATATCTCACCTTATATTCAATCTGGTCATTGTGCATATTCTACCCTCAATTTGCAGCCTTCACCGAACAAACACTCACAGTTGTTCACGGCTTTCTCCAGTTGCCCCATACCGCAAGTGTCATCGCTGTGTTGAAATTGGACATCCTCAGT